GTCAAAGGACCCAGGGCTTTGGGCTGTCCCTCTGAAGGAACCTGGAGCCTGGCCCCTGGATAATTCAAAACAGGGCTACATGGCAAAGGCAAGAGGCTCTTGTAAGGTCCCAGTAAGCAGCCGAACAAGGGACGGGTGCAGGGGGGACAAGCTGTGTTTTCAGTTCGGATTCTGTGATCTTTCTGCCAAGCAGGGGTTTACAAAGCAAAAGCTTCCAGAGAACCCTCATACTTTCTGGCTTATTCTCATGGTGTTCCTCTTGACAGGAATCAGCTGTTTGCCTTCTCACTCATCCAGCGTGTCACTGGGGAGCAGTTAGCATCTGGTCTGGCTATTATTAAAAACAAGAACATCCCGCTCTGTCGGGAGAACAGTACCCCGTAATAAAAAGACAGCTCATTTGCATTCAGGACCAGGGATGTGGCCCCTCAGTGTCTGTTGTCCCTTCCCACCAAGGCTTTCTGTCAGTCTCCTGAAGCACAGGGAGACTGGGCTTAAGTTTTCCTTCCTGGGGAGGCCAGAGCCTCCAGTCCTAGGCTCCAGTGTGATAAATCTGAAGATTTTTTTTTACAACTGCGGAAATGAAAAAGTAAACAAGACTGGAGCTGCATTGGTATTTAAGCTCTAGCCTTTTGTTGTTGTTTTTGTCTTTTTCTGGTTTTGAGCACTGGGCTAGGAGCCTGAAGGAACCATATAATATAAAAACCTTGAGAGGTTTTATTAGTCAATAAAAAGCCTTAGTTCCTATTAACCACTTAACTCCTTACTCTGATTCAGCACTTGCTTCCTCCTTAAGGTTTCCCTGCCTGCCACGGCCCAGAACGGCAAGTTTATCCCCCAACCTCTGTACAACCTGAGTCCACACTCTGTTCTGGAAGGTTCTGCTAAGAATTATCTTCCATGATAATCTCAGCGTTTGTCCTCGGCCGATGCACCAAGGATGAGTTGACCATACTCAGACACATTTCCTCTTCCCACAGATCCCCACCCAACTTCCTCAGCACCCACCAAAGGGTCAAAACCATCATGACTTCCAGGATCTTAAACAGGAAATGTCGGAGGAAAATTTAGGCCAGAGGTGTGACCAGCAGAAGCCACGAGCCTCACATTTGGAGCCGGAAGAGTGAAGACAAAGGAGAGGCAGAGAGTGAAACTGGTCGGTTGCTTGACTGGCTGGAAAAGATGGCATTCCAAAAAGTCATCGACGTGATGTAGGAAGGAGAGGGTGGCAGAGGCATTAAAGCCTTCAACTGTTTCGCTGGCACTCCCATCCCTATTAGTCCTGTGCTGGGGGCTAGTTTTTTGCTGGCTTTAAAGAATAAATCTGCACACATGCACCAGTCTATCACAAAATGAACTCTACTGGGAGAGCTCTTGGTGCCCTTACCTAACGCTCCGTCTCTAACTGTGCTGACCCTGTACTCTGCTTTTTCTCCACACCCAGGCGAACTCCAGCACTTCTGGTGCCCTGGACATTTCCTAAGAGCACAAAGCCACTTGAGAACTGCTTGTGTTTTTGTTCTGGTCTTAACTCAAGTCGCATTCCTTTGTTCCTTTGTCTTCCGGTAGAATTCTTTGCTATGTGTTGTATGCTGTGTTTGTTTGCTTTTTTTTTTATGAGAATGGCAGGTGGACTGTTTCACTCTCTTGTGGCTCAAGAATGGGACCAAATGAGCTACGAAGAACACGGTCATGAAGAAGTGAGCGGTGGTGGTGGCTCAACAGATAAAGTCCCTGACTCAGAACCATGAAGACTTGCTTGAGCTCGAATGCCCAGAACCCACAGGAAAGCTGGACTGTCGGTCATTCCAGCACCTTTTGAAGGCAGAGACACGGAAGGTGAAGAAGGAGATCCCTAAAACAAGCTACCTAGCCAGGGCAGCCATCTTAGTGAGCTCTGGGTTTGATTGAGAGACCCTGCCTCAATCAGAACAGTGCAGAGTGATTCAAGATGTCTCCCTATGTCAACCTTGGGCCCCATGTGCATGCACATCCTCCCCTGTATGTGTGAGTACACACACTCAAACAGGCATGCAGACCATGCCCACACACAGAGGTGAGGGGGGAGAAGTGCACACCATTCGCAATAATAAAGAATGCATAAAACAAGTTAAAAAAAAAAACACCAAAAACACTGCCCTAAGTGGCCAGACATCTCTGTAACAAAAGTTAAGAAAATGGAGTTTTAGTAAAGGTTAAGCAAGTCTCCGGAACTGTGTCTTCCAGCTTTCTGATAGGCTGAGCCTCTCTGGATGGAATCATAAGAAACTTTTGAAGAAAAAGCTTTATAAAAATTAGTAATGACCTCTTCCTCTATGTCAAGCTCAACAGACCTCGACAAGCCCAGGAGCATCCTGTGTTATCCCTTGTCCACGTGAAGAAGGATTAGGAACTGTGGGTGGTGGTGCTTCTCCTAAAACCCCCGAGAAACTACAGGAATAACTAACACCAGAGCAAATCTGCCATCCCCAGGAGAGGTGCATTTCAATGCCTTTAATGGTTTTCCATCTCCTCCCTTCCTCCCTTCAGGTATGCTTGCCTGGACACACACCACCACCCCCTCCCACCTCACCACCCTCTTCCCCTCCACCCCCTCCCCCTCCACCACCTCCATGGTCTATTACCCTTTGCACCTAGTCTAAGTTTTGAGGAGCACCCTTTAAAACTCCCATTCCCAAGGTCTACAGATTGAATAGCCACAGCTGAGAAGTCCCTAGAAGTCCCAACTGGGCTGATCAGGCTGTATAGGAAGGATGGCAAGGATAAAAGAGTGTGTTGTCTTTGCCCAGAATTTAAATGGTGGTTCCTACCTGTCCTTTCTTAAAGAACTCCAAGAGCAGGGAGAGAGCTCAGGAAGGAAGAGGAGAGCCATGGGTAGGAACACATTGCGGTGTGCCTAGGTGAGCACCCCGGAGAGCAAGAACAGTAGAGTCACCCTTCAGCACTGACTCTAGGAGCAAATGTATGAGATTTCATGGCCCTGCATGGGTGAGCTGGTGATACCGCTGAACTCACAGGAGTCAGCAAAATAGTCCTCCACCTCCTCTGAAAACACAACTCAGACTGCAATGTTGTTGTCCTAAGTCACCCCCTTTTTCGGTGTTCCCAATACGCTGTTTTCTAGAATGGTCCCTGAACTGATTTTCACAGTACTGGGACAGAGGCCATAATTCCCTGCCTCTAACTTGATGACAGAGATAGAGGTGACAGCTTAACTCAGAGGAGTTAGTCCATTTTCACAGTGGCTCTTGGCTATATCCTCATTGTTTATCCCCCATTCTCAAAGGGAATGGGGGGAGGGCAGAGGGGAGCCTGCATTGCTGTAAGACCTGTGCTCACTGTGACCAAGGGCTCCCCGACATTCTCCCTTGCTTTCCAGACTATTTTCAAGTCTCATAAATACAAACATGCGTCTCTTCAACCACATCTGTAGATAATAACTTCGGGGGGCTTCCTGTTTACATGGCAATACCCATTTCCCAGCCAAATAAACTCTGTAACAGAGAGCTAAGGTGTTTATTGGGCCAGTCTCGGCTGGGATTGAGTTAACAGGAAACTCCCACACTCACAGAAATGTCTCATGATTAAATATTTGGGACACGAAGGGTCAGAGCACTGGGGAACTGCCGGCTGTTGCAGTGAGAAAACAGAGCAGCCAGGGGAAACGCTGGCCTCACGGCAGACTTCAGACCAGCTGAGAGGCGGCAGAGAGGAGAAGATGGGCACTTAAGCCAAAGGGATTCTCCTACTCCATCCAGTCTCTGAGGTCCGTCAGCTGAAGGGACGGATGAAGGCCTACACGCGTGGCAGGAAACCTACCAGTCTTCCTCTGGTGACCTTGGTTCAGTGAGCAGTATCCCCTCCCACCAGCTCGGTTACACCCTCACACCAGTTCCACAAAAGACTCCAGGCAAAGCCTCCAGCCTCCAACCCATGTTGCCCATTTGGTAAAGTCTAGAGGTAGCTTTGATGGTCAGGGTTGAACAGTACTCCTGGCATCCGGTAGGCAGAGGCTGGGGACACTGATAAATACCCCACAGGGCTACGGACACAGCAGAGAACTGTCTGCCCTGAAATGTCACAGTCAAGGTCTAGACAGTAAGCCAGAAACTCACAGTTAGAGGAGTGAAGTGACATGGCTAGGGACAAAACAAGGGAGACCACCTCTGTGCCCCTTCCCCTGTGCCTTTAGAAGCCGGAGAAATGTTTACTTTAAATAAACATGTTCATCTCGAAAGAGCTACAAACGAATTCTCTGGCCAAAGCTCAGCCATGTTCTTCTAGGATGACTCCTTGACTTAGAAATGATGTGCTTCCAAGATTTCTTGGGGAACAGCCCTCTTAGGGGAAGCCTCAACCCTGTTGGGATAAAAGAAGCCAATGCAGCCAGTGACCCCAGTGTGTCTACACTGGTAAATCAAAACAGAAGGACCATGAGGTAAGTAACTACTCAGCCTCATGGAAAGAGAAGGACTTACCGAAAATAAGCACTGACCCAAAAGACAAAACAAAATCCTCAAAATACAGCTATTATGTTCCCTAGCAGAACGCTTCTGAGGCTGAAGTCCAAGGCCCATTTTAGTCACCGCTGGACTTTGGTTTTTATTTCTGAAGACCCAAAAGGAGATACGGGAAGGAAAATGGACAGCTCCCTCTATCTGGGCTGCCTGGGGTCTGGCTACAGCTGGGAGGAGGATGGTTGGTTGCTGGCTCCCATTCCTTTTCTCAGGGGTCTGTAACACCCGGACTGATCCAGAGCTGAATTCAGGGGCTTGGCAGCAGGATGGCATGGGCACCGCCTCCTTCAGATTCAGGCGCTAAAGGCACGTTGATGGCTGAGGTTTCTGCCTACTCCTCCAGATCAGGGCAAGCAAGAGCACAGGGCTCACTATGGCATCCCCCTCTCACAAGAAATAATTTAGCTAGCTCTGGCACACCCTGGGAGGTGTAGGCAGGAGTAGATGTCAGACACGAACAAGAAAAGACCCAGGATACACACATAACAAAACAAAGAACAAAAAAGCCTTTTATTGAAAATTAAATTCAAACTTCAAATTAATATTACAATCATGAGGGAAAAATGCCAAATAATTCAATTTACAGTTGCAACATACAATACAAATAGTCCCTTTGAAGTTCCGAGTAAACTCATCCACAATCATGACCTGTGGTACAAAGCAGAATTTGTACAATATGTGCATGGAAAGCAAACCTTAGGCAATAGCAATCAGAAAAATAAGAAATAAAAACAAAAGCTGTATATACACAAAATGCTACAATTTTGTTGTTGTTGTTCCACAGAAATCTAAGAATGGTAGGCATATTGAAAGACATGGAATTTTATTTAGAACACCTAAGAAATTACCATAAGTTATGGTTTTGGCTGGTATATTTTAAGTATTGCATTACAAAGCAAATAATTATTTGTAAACATGAAGAAAACAGATAACTAAGAAAGTTCTCACATAGAAAAAAATCTTTGTTTTAGATGCATTATCTTTTTTTAAGAACAATAAATTGAAAGTTTGGAGAATCATCTTTTATTGTTTATTATTCTTTTCCAGTACTGTGACTATAATTACTTCTGTTAAGGCTCACTATCTCTAGGTCTGTCAGTGCCCTTCCTTGGAGAGGAAAGAATCCCCAGCATGGCTCCTCCCTTCTGAACCTACAAAGGACTATCTCTAATGGTGTGGAGATGTTTCTCTGTTCATTTCCCAAGGGTCTCTGGGTAAAGGAAGACACAGTTTAGAGAGCCAACAGTAGCTAACCTGTGGTGTGTGTCTGCTTCTGACTGGACACCACTCCCTAACCTAAAACTAAAACCATGCTACCTGCTCTGAACTTTGGCCTAGGTTAAAATTCTGGGGACAATGGAAGAGTATGTTTCTAAAACTGCTTGAGTCGGTCAGACTGTAAATCCCAGGGGTGCCTGTGCTCCTTTGAGAATGTGGGGGTTGCTTGGGACACGTAGGTGTTCCAGGTAACCACAAGTCATACATGTGACCCAGTGCAGGTGGGACATTTAAGAGGCAAGGGAAGAGGAAGGGGATTTTAAATACTACTCCAAAAGAAAGAAAGAAAGAGTGTGGCCTAAGTAATGGGGATCACCTGCGAGGTGGCTGAAAGGTGCAGAGAAATACTTGAATTTTTCTCAAAGGGAGGGAAGCGTTTCAGGGTTGCTGCCTGCAGCCACTATATTAACATCTGGGCACTAACACATCCGCTCTAGTCCCTTAATATGTGTACTGTAAACTTTTAAGAAGCCCTTTCACGTTAAAAAAAAATGGTGTACAAATAGAGTACCCTTTTTAAGACATTAAATAGGGTGAGCTGGCACCCATGGTAACATTTTCATGTCAATTAATGAAAACTGGAAAGTGTGACCAGACACTGGCGTTTGTCAGTGCTGCCAAAACAGGTATAAACAAACGCATGGACAGTGTGTGCTTCAAGCTACCACACGCAATAATAAATAGCATCAGTTACGACCTCCATCATAAAAAATACAAAGTGGCTTATCTATCTGAACATACTTGGTATACAACCTTTAGAAGGCTAAGTGTTTTGGTTTGGCGGGGGCTTTCTTCCCCCCTGGATTTGTATTAGGAGTTAGGATGAGTTCTAAGGAAAACCCAGACTGGAGGCACGCACAGGTCCACCTGCCCCCAGACCGTCCCACACTGGGACAAAGGTCCACCTGAGAAGGGGGTCTAGGGGCTATAGGAAAATATCTGCAGAACTCTCCTTAGGATGATTCAGGGTTCAAATGAAGGTGGCCCCCACCCTAGTCCACCCCCACCACCTGTGCAGGAAGAGTGCTGGGATTGACCTGGTCCTGTCACTGAAAGATGCCTGGATCGGATTAAGGAGTCACACTCAGGGATGGCCACAAGGTGCCCAGAATGATCAAGTGCATCCTCCAAGAGGGCTGGAGCCCAAATTCACATACAGTGGCAGACACCAATGGCACATGGCCTTCCCTACTTTTGGCCCCCCTAGAGAGAGGTGCTAATATCAAAAGATTCATGGCGGTCCTCACAGGCTGTGTTTACAGACATCAGCTACTGGTCGCTACTTCAGCTGACCAGCTCCCCTAGGACAGTGACTTCATTCTGCTCCTTGGGAAGCTGCTGGAGGCCCTCCTTCGGCAAGGCACTTTGGGGTTCCCCTGAGTGACTGTGTGGGAAGGCTGGTGGGTGCCGAGTCCTGGTGTGTCGACACTTTCCTACACCCTGTATGCTGTGATCCAGCCTTTACCACATGTGCGGCTTTCAGCTGACGAAGCCACGGAGCCTGCGATTTAGAGTTTTCTTAACTCTGAGACCACAGAACACTCTTCTGCAATTACTCACTTGTGCTTGGCTTTTTAATATGACAAGAGTCATAATGACCATGCCACCACCACCACCCCCCCTCAAAAAAAGAAAGAAAGTAGGAAACCACATGTCTCTAGCATTTCATGCTGGTAAAGGGGACACATTAAGTGTTAAAGGGCTGCAGGACTATGGGTGTTTTGTTTTTGTTTTTGTTTTTTCTAAATCCCTAATTATTGCTTTAAAAGGCAAAAAGCTGTGTCAGAAGCAACCAAAGACCTGAAAGAATAAAACATAGCATTTCCTTCATACATCACAAAAACAAACTACATCTAAAATATTTGGAGATGGAAGTTATCTTCAAAAAAAATCACATTGTGCCTGAAGGAATTGAAATTGCTTAGCAATATTTCAGATATGGCTCTAGCCCACTGAAGAAATTTGTTATTTAAGTAAAAGCACTTTTAGAGACCGAAGTCAACATATCATTACACTAAGAAATGTTCCAAAGGTCCAAATGTCATTAAATAATTATAAATATATCTTTAAAGTTATATGACCATTCACGTTAGCAAGTTACCTCAGATTTTACACATATTCATAATTTAAAAAGAAAAGAAAAACAAATAACACACAGCCAACTCAAACACTATACCATTATGGCTATAATAAGGTATTGCCATTTTCAGTTTTGCATAAAGGGAAAAGAAGGAGGAAGGGGTGGGTTGGGAGGATTTGTTTTTGGTTAAATGGGGGAAATGAGGGAGTATAAAAAAGTAAAATAAAATAATCTATCCTGATCAGTATTTCTGAAGTCACTTTCTTAGAGTAGGAAAAAAAAACAATAAGTGAACTCAAAAGTTCAAATGAGTACTTGCAGCAAGTCTGAAGGCAAACTTTGGACAGGTATTCAGAACGGGCAGCACTGGATGCAGCCTCGGTGCTACCCTCTTGGTCCCTTTCAGAGTGCAAGTAACTGGCTTTGTAAGCGGGTCTGCAGAGTGCACCGGCCCCCAAGCAGCCGCAGCATGGGGGGCTTCAAAGGTACGGGGCGTGGCTTCAAAGTATGGGGAGGAAGTGGCTTGGCTCTCTTCTTCCTCCCGAACCCGGAGTCCACTTCTCTGAATTGGCATAGGAACAGGTTACTTAGGAAAACAGACCAGATGACAACACCTTTGACCATTTGTTCCTTGGTAAAAGGGACATCTTATAGTAAACAATATGAGACCCAGTTACGACTATCTCTCCCCTCTTAGGGCTGCGAGATCATGACTAGGGAGTGAGTGAGAAATCTTCTAGATGGCTAACCAATATACATATATATGCACTCTCTTTATATATGTATATATTAACACGTGTGGGATGTGGCCCCCGGATGCCACTGGGCCAACAGCTGAGGAATTTCAATATGGTCGCCAGACAGATTCATCCATTCTGCCACTAGAATTCAAAACAGTTGGGGAACTGCTGTGGCTTCCATCAGCGTCAACACCATCGTTCTGGTTAGGCAAATTTGGATTTAATAGCGTGCTGCCATTCGAGGTGGTGGTGCAGGGTGGGAGCATTCTGGAAGGAGACCGGTCCCCTCCCGGCACCATGGGGAACTGATAGGACGCTGACGAAGTGCCATAGTAGAGATATGGAGTGCTGCTGGTCTGGAAGGGTCCACTCTGGCTTTGGGAGGAGCCGGGGTAGGGTGGTGGCAGGTAGGTGTGGTAGTGGGTGGTGGCGGACATGCCGAGGGACATGCCTGACGTGACGGGCGGGGTGTAAGTAAAGGTGGCTGGGTAGTGCATTCGTGGGTTGGAGAAGCGGCTCTCAGTGAGGGATGAGATACTTGAGAACTGCCTGGGGTCTGAAAAAGGGCCCAGTTCTGAAGCACCTAAAAATCATAACAGAAGACGGGGAGGGGGAAACATCTGTAAATATCAATAAAATGATAGAAGTTTTACAAGATTTTTAAAAAGAGGAGAAAACGTTAGCTTTCTCCCAAGGAACAGCAAGTCAGTCACAGACAGATTTCAAACGCCCTGCTCACCTCCGGCTTTGCTTTCCCCACGTTTCTTCTTAAGTTCCCCACCCCCCAGAAAATCCAGAAGGGCCTTTTAAAAGCCAAACATATGCTAACCCCTGTGTGGAAGCCAGCACCCCAGTCACAGGTTCCCACAGCAGACTTTAAGGCTGGATGTCACCGATCACACCCCACCCACCTATCTTTCTGTCTCTTCAGGTATCTGAAGTGAAACTTTACTAATCAGACCAATTGATTTTTTCCTAACTCCGTGTAAACAATTCCAAAGATTTATTACTGCACCCCTTAAGGTGGGGGGTTTCTTTGTTAAGAAAAGTATATCAAACAGATTTCCTCAACATATTCCCACCATTTCTTTTAACCTTTAAAAGAATTTAAGACCTTGTCTTAGTCACAGTGAAATCAAAGCAGGTGTCAATGTAATCTAACACTATCTTGCTTTCCTGGGGGTGTTAGGGAGAGTTGAACCCTCAGAAAGTCTCCCTTGAGTCATAAGCTAGGTAAGAAGGTATTGGGAGGGAGGGCGGGGTGGGGTGGGGTTGGTGGGAAAGTGGAGGGGGGTGTGAGGACCTTGGCAGTGACTGCGTTTCAGAGTCTTGCTGAGTGACATGGGACCTGATTTAGGCCAGGTGCCCACAGAAGCTTTAGCGAAGGCTTCAGGCCTAGGAGAGATGAGGTGGGAAGACTCCCTGCTGCCTGCCTGTCCCCTGTACTGCAGTGAGCTGTGGGGGCTTAGCATCCTAGAAGCAGATATGGCTTCCCTCTAGAATTTTCCCATCTGCCTCCTTAGCAGATACCCCTGAGAGCACAGCGAGAGACTTTGCACATTGAAACTAATTTTCTGAAATGGATAAAACTCACAGCTGTGATCTTGGGGTTCCTTGTAACTTTCTAGAACTGACTGAATTATGGCAAACCCTTTTGTACCATCAACGTTTCTCACTAAGATTGTGATATCTTCTGTTTCCCTTGCTTCCTGACTTGGATTTCCTATATCTGCTTTTGCTACAGGTTTTATCTGCAAGGGAAAGAGCTGAGCAATTCCTAAAGGCCTTAATTTGTTCTCAGCCTTCCTCCTGGGACAGTCTGATGTTTACGGAAGGGATCTTTCAAGTAAGAGTCTAGAAAGGACCTGTTAGAGGGTGATCGGTGTTTGTAAAAATGCACATTGCTTGTAATCTTCACCAGGTGCCGGGGTTCAGTGTGTGAATGCATTTGTCATACAGTGTGACTGCTTGAAAGCAACATGGAGTTAACAGAACCTCTTTTGGTTTTTCTTCTCACAAACCAGAAGACAGCTCGCATCATACAGCCCGGCCCAGCCCCCAGCAATTGTGAAGTCTCACCTGCCTGGCTCTTCTTGCTGAGAGAGGAAGGCCAGAGGCAGAAGTCAGAGGTGGCAGGGTCATCATCTGGAAAAGGAGGGGACGAGCTCTAAGTTCCCTTCCAGCTCTAGCATCTGGTCTATGACATTAATTCCAAGGCAGGAGGAGAAACAATGGCCTTGGGGTGTGGGGGTTCCCATCCCTCATTAGTGCCTTCCCGGAACCCACTGGCCCATGGGCAGAAGGCGCGCGGCAAATGAGCTGCCTCCAATACCAGAAGCAAACGCTTTCAAGATGGCAGACGGAAAATGCATTCAGCCAGTTGCTTAGGGTCTGCTTTTTATAAACCCCTCCTCCCTCGACTGGCCTCTCCCTCACCCCTCCCCCTAAATGAGCTTCTGATGAGTTCAAGTTTTAGAAGGTGGAGGTAGTGATGGTGTGAGAATCAAAAGCGGGAGCAGATGAGAGTCCCTGCCTCCCTACCCTGTGTTTATCTGCTGCTGCAAACCATACAGACCTCAGGCAGAGCCCACAGGTGGTCCTAAACAGTCTTCTGGCCCTGCAGCATCTAGGTGAAGTTGAGGGGCCAGGCTAATAGATATAGGCAGGCGGCTTCCATGGGCATTAAGTTCGGTACCCAGAGCGCATGAAAAAAGCCGGAATAACTGGAGTAATTTGAAAGGGAAAGAAGTTGCACTTAAAACGTCAACATTTGCCCCTCAAAGAAGCACAGACTTCACACATAGATAGGCATGTTAATGTTGTTTTAAAGGCTCCTAACATGTATTTATTTTCTCTTAAAACTATGTTTTAGGAATAATTAAAATTCCATATGGTTTTGCTTATTTTGATGCAGAAATCTCATTAAACGTCCTTATGGGGGACCCCGCTAGTAAAGTCTGATATGGCTTGGTATTTACCCCCACCACACACCTCTGCTCTAGCCGCTACAGTTTTTACTGCTCGCAGCATATTGCCAGGATCGCCATAGCTCTGGGCTTTAGAGATATTAACTAACAGACTGACAGTCACCTTTCAGTGAGTGGGCTCTGGTTGGGGCTCATTTATCTTCAGGGGAAACAAAACAGGACAAGTATCTGCTGGGGTTAAAGCCCTCTGACCAGTCACTTCTTTGAGACTATGATGTCTTGAGGATCAGCTCTTTCTCGACTGAGTGAACTAAAGTAGACTTGGAAGGGACCAGAAGAGACTCTTGGAATCTATGAACCGTAGCATTTTCCATAACCTACTCAGTCACTGTATGCTAGCAAGCGTTACTTCTGAAGCTGACTGCAGCATATTGGGTATGAAGAAATAAGAACTTTTCATGTATACAGGTCGGGTGGGATGGGGTCCTAATAGAAACATCAATTTATTTATAATCATTTTATTTCCAAAGGGAAGAAATGCAACTACATTTTCTCTCCCTGAATAAGTCTGCACCTGAACTTGTTAGCTGTCTTGTACAAGTGTTATGGTCTCCTTCTAGGGTGATTTTGACAATGACGGTGCTCCTTGGTGTCAGCCACATTACAGCCACAAACTTTAAAACAAAATAAGCTAAAAATACATACTGAATTGACTATGAAAAATGCCAATTTGACTTGTGAAAAATGCCCACAAGATGAAAGCTTGGACTGATACCCCCATCCAATTTTGTCCTTGCAAATCCCCCTGCCCAGGGACAGGCCTGTAGCCTCAGAGAAACCCAAACATCTTAAAGCCCCAGCTAAGGTCTACTGTGTAAACAAAGCTAAAGTGATTCTTTCTGCTGTTGCTCTTGTCCATGTACAAGGTACACAAAGCTGTGCTGAGAAACGGAAGTGTTCAGGAAATTGAGGGTTCTACTATCCACACAAAACCTGGTTCAAAGAACTTCAAAATTAACCTGTGCAGGAGAGGGTGTTGGGATGGGGGCAGTTTAAGTCTGTTATCACAGCACTAAGAAGGCCAAGAGTAGGACTATGGAACGTTGAGGCCACCCTGGGCCACATAGTGAGTTCCAGGCTAGTTTGGGCTACAGAGCTAAGATGCCTATCTCAAAACAAAAATCAAAGTTTCAAAAATGGTATTTCAAGTGCCTGGTGGCTAACAGGAGTCGGTGAAACTCCACGATGACGCATGCATCTTCCTGATAGGCTCAACAAGATGACGGGAATGCATCTTCCTGATAGGCTAGTTTGACTCAACCTGGGCATGGAGTGACACTACACAATAAACTTGAAAACCATGACAAGGAGGAGACTGCAACATTCTGGTGAATTTCTGGAGAAATAAAAATGATTTCCACAAAAATTTTACCTATCAGCTGGGCAGTGGTGGTGTATGTTTTTGATCCCAGCACTCAGAAGACAGAGGTAGGTCAGGCAAATCAGTGAGTATGATGCCAGACTAACCTACAGAGCAAGTTCTGAGACAGCCAGGACTGTCTTGAAAAAAAAAACTGTACCTATGACACTTTCTGCTATGTCCCCTGATCTCCCAAGTTAGCCATGAACCTCCTTCTGCTGGTCAAAGTACTCTGATGGTAAAGTCTAAACTTCCAAGGGATTGTCATCTAACTACACTTCACAGCTAGGGAAGCGGAAGCCAGAGAGGAGCCATTCACTAATCAGCATCCCCACACAGTGAAGGAGGCAGAGCCAGGAGACAGACACCCTTGACTCCTCAGAGAGGACAAGTGATCTGTTTACCCTTGAGGAATCTGGTTGAACTGATCACGGCCACCACCCCCACCCCACCCAACCCCCACCCGCCCCACCCCACTCTCTCGATGGAAACTACTTAAATAGATTCTTTTGGTGTCTCAGTGTCACCCCGGTGATAATTACCATTTTGGGGAGCCCCCTCACTGCTCCACTCTGGCCACAGTGTTGATCTAATCTGATAAACAGTTAGCCACCAGTTCCAATTGCTCAGGGTACAAGAAGAATGGGATTTAGGTCAAAGGCCCCATCCCTCGGGATCTCCTGGCTTCCTACAGATGCTCCATTCCAAAGCTGCTGTCCCCACTCCCAGCCACAGCTGGACAACTTGCAAACAAATGTTGCTGTCTTCAGGAAGAACTCTAAGAGCCTGGCTGGCGAAAGCAGCAGCAGCAGAGGCAGCGGCAGCAGCCCTCACAGGCTGACACAGACTGGGAAGACTACCTTAGTAAAATGCCGGTGAGGCCCAAATAAAAACAAAACCAGTGTTAAAAGTAAAAACACCCTGTTCTCTCCCCCACAAGGTCTGTGAGAGGAAAGGCCACAGACTCTCTTTACCTAGTCGGGTTCCTGGAGTCTTCAGAGAAGGGGGAAATGTCTGAAACCCAGACAAGAGGAACACACGAGAACCTTTGGATTTGACTCTCCAGGCCTCTAATCTACTATAGGTCTTCCATGTGCTGCTCTCCAATGCTACTAACCCTGGATCGTGTCTGACTCACAATTAAAGACAGCTGTTGAAGGCACAGATCTCTCACCAGGGCTTCTAATGGGATTACTCAGTCTTTTTTAAAAATTATTTACTTATTCTCTCTCTCTCTCTCTCTCTCTCTCTCTCTCTCTCTCTCTCTCTCTCTCTCTCTCTCTCTCTGTGTGTGTGTGTGTGTGTGTGTGTGCGCGCGCGCGCTACACATGTGTGGGTACCTGCAATGACTAAAAGAGGCCATTTGCGCTGAACTATCTCTCTGGCCCTCCTCCCCTCTTTTGAAGTACTGGGGATCAAACCTATGCCTCAGGCATGCTAGACAAACCCTCTACCTCTGAGTTACAAAGCTATAGCCCAGTAGCTAATAGTCTCCATTTCTAAACCCTATCTTTAAGTTTAAAGTACATGCAACATTTAGTAGGCTGGCACTAAACAATTGTTGATTGAAAACAGGCCAGGGGGGCTTTACAATCAAAGGAAACTGGGGTTTGAAGCTAGCAGAGGAAGTACTTGTCACTAAGGGGTGTCAGCTGGGAAACTGGGCATGTTAGCTTCCCCACTAAACATGAAGCAGAACCGACATGACCCAGCTGAAGAAGGAGCAGAAGAAAGACAAAGAGCCATGACTCTAAATGAATATCCCCATGTGCATAGCCCATTCTCCAGTGTGAGGACACCACTGTGTGACATGGAAAGCCAGCAGACCTGGAGCCAGGTGTTAATTCCGGAGATACTTTGGAGCTGGTTACACAGCAGGAGTTACTGCTTCAACACATCTCACACAGAGCTCATGAACTTTTTATTAACCTGAGACATCCTTCCTGGGAACACAGACCACGTAAGACCTACAAGGGCTGCTGTCCTCTGCCATGCAGAGGCTCCTTCTGCTTCAACACTTTGGCTGCCCCATCCCAACTGCCTGCTTACATAACAACTTCCCATTTCGCTTCTCTTCCAACAGCAGTCATTTTCTGCACGACTCTTCTGAGCCCTGGCTCAGACTCCACTAAATTATTAGCTGTCTCTTAGTCTGTTCGCTCCGACTAGAGTCAGTTTGGGATGGCAGGGGATTTAGTCTCCTCTCACATCATTAGGCATCATCATCTCTGGCCTCAGGGGCGCCTGCTTATACACAGTACATATTGCCACACAATGTACGCACAAATGAAAGTAATGATTAAATCTGCTTTTAACAGTCTCTGGGTGGCTCCTGTGTGTAATCTCAGGACTCAGGAGGCTAGGGCATATAGATGATCACCGTGAGTTTGAGTCCAGAAGAGATAACACAGTGAGTCTGAGGCCAGCTTAGCTTAGGCTGGTTACATAGAGAGACAGTGTCTTAACAAAACCAAAAAAAAAAAAAAAAAAGAACAGAAAAAAGTAAAACAGATAAACTAAGCAATGCTGACATCAAATCTAAAATGTGATTTAAGTACATTTCATACCGAAAACCTTGTTAATGCTCTTTAAAATGGACACCAAGATATTCTCAGCCATCAACATATCACCTGACCTCATGCTTCAGATAGAGCCCCTGCCTAGCAACAGTTGTAGTAAGAAACAGATGTCCCTGTTTTCCTGACTCCCACCCTACCTCAGAACCTGTATGCTTGTAGCTCCATAATGGAAGACCCTGGGGAAGAGACACAACAGGGGGATGAAGGAGAATCAGATCA